ACAGACCACCAGGGCGGCAGAGAAAACCTTTGTTCAACCTGAAATGACTCATTTAATCATCCAAAACGTTATGAAACACATTAATTAACTGGAAAATGTTGCATTGTATGCCTTTAATGTCTTCAGTCAACCTATTGGCTATATTTGCAGCTGTCTGGCTTGAAGTAATCTTGAGTGCATCTTTCCAGCTTATCTGAATGTGAACGTCACGCACTATAAAACTAATCAATCTCATTCCCTAGACATCAATTTTACAAAAATGTAAAGGAATCGATTCAAAATCGATTATATTGATTTTTTTACCCAGCCCTATTCGTTGCTTGTCGCTTAAGAGATCTGAAAAGTCACTAAATATAGTTGCAAGTAGCTGCGCTTGCAACAGTGGGGCTTTCCTCAGTTGAACGATGTAATAGGATGTAAAAGCATCCATTCTCTAACAAGGTCCCCAAAGTAGGTCCTTGAGGGCCGCTGTCCTGCAGGTTTTAGAGGTTTCCCTGCTGCAGCACAGCTCACTTCCATCTTTTCCCTCTTCTACTGGTTTGATTTCTGGAGAGACTAGTCCAACTTGCGCCATCTCACCGCGGAGCTGAGTCCCATGTGGTTTTTAGACGTACGTTGTGAGCAGGTAGATCGCATAAGAGCGTCGGGTCGCACAGTGAGAGAGCAAACATCGTGAGCTGCGAACTTTTAAACCCTGTGGTTTCGTCGTACAGTGGGAGCTGTAGCTGCGTGCAACGATTGCAAAAATAGTAGAGTGTACGCCCGGCTTAAGTCTTCAAGCAGACGTGAAAACTTCAGATACTGACGGAAAAACAAGTGAAACAGAAATCAGCTGTCTGACCTGATATTTTACTGTGCTGACTGGCGCTCCGAACATGCCGACTCAGGAAGACCTCATCTGGACTCGGAAGGCTGTCTCCATGATCAGAAAGCCCTGCAAAGACAGACAAATAGAAACGTAACACTTTTATATACTTTTAATTCATCCTTTATTTGTCTAACAGCTTGTTTACATTATTTACTACTTAAATACAAATAATCTGTTCTTACCTGAACTACGTACTGATGATTGTCGGGGTTTGAAGGCACTAGTTCCCTCTACGATGCGCCCGAGTGGCTGCAATGTGGCGTTGGTGCTCTCCCCCTTACAGTCCAGCTGCAGGTTGGGATCCTCGCCACCAATCAGCACAGATTTAGCCGTACTGGGGGGCCTGGAATCAAAGTTTTATTAAATGTTTACACCAAGGTGCATTCATCTACCTATCACCAGACTGTAGAGGAGCTGAGCGGCTCATTTAGTCAAAGACTTTTACACCCTGTTTGTAAAAAGGAGCGCTACTGCAGGTCATTCATCCCTGCTGCAACCAGACTCTACAATGCAACACTGCAATGGCAAAAACCCGTGCAAAGAATAATGTGCAATTGCTATTTAATACCCTGTGCAATAACTATATATATATAAATATCCATCTATATAAATATCCATGTAAACGCCCTGTGCAATAACCCTGTATAATAATCCTGCGTTAAAAATAAAGCTGTCATATGTGGACGCACTGTATAGACTGGATATACCCCATGCACCTTTTTTATCCTTTACCACATTCTATTTGACTATTTGAGCTGATGGAACGAGTACATTTCTCCACTGTGAGATCAATAAAGTCAATCAATCAATCAACTTCTTCACACCACCCTGTTTACTGGTACTTCCTCCACAGGAATTTGAACTTTTTCCAAATTAGATGTTTTTTTCTCTCATATTTTTAGACCCGAAACCTAAAGAGATCAACAATCCACTTTTCAAAGAACGACGCATGGCCTAACACAGAAGAGCGACCTCCTCGGGACAAGACTCTGCGGTACGACGCCTCTTTCAGACACGTAGACGGGTATGGGGCATTTCAGGCCAACAAAAGAAGCCAAACGACCCCCATTCCAAATGGGTGGACCCCTTCGTCCGTTTCAATCTGCATGTTTTCAAAACAACAGCAACGCTTTATTGAGTTATTGCATAAAACCACCAACTCAACGCTATTCCTGACATTTTGAATTGAAAAAGCTTCTTGGATGGGAAGCAATCTCTGAAAATGTTAAAGATTGACACCAAACTCCTGCTAATGGAGCTATGAATGAGTCTGACACCCCAAAAGAGAAACACTGATGCATCCTGGGAGGCAAGGATAAGAACGGAGAGACGGGTGAATGGACCAAAACCTCTTTTAGGTTCAGAGAAGCAACATTAACTTACGTTTTAAAGCAGGGGTCCCCAGACAAAAGAGTCATCCCAATGGTAACCTAGACGATAAAACATTAAAAAAATTAACCTACTGTCTTAAGTTAAGAACTTAGCAGAGACAGAAATTATATTAAATTTAAAAATTGTAACTATGGGGTAAGTACGGAAGAGGATTAGGACCACTGGAAAAAAAAAAAAAAGTTAACAGATTTTTTATTTTATTTAAGTTTATTTGGGGAAAAAGTCAGAATTTTGATGTTAATCTCAGAATCGTAGAATTCTATTAAACTCAAATTTAATAAAAAAAATCTGTTACCTTTTTAAATGTTTTTCCAATAGCCCTAATTCTCTTCCGTAGGTAAAATTTCCATCATAAAAAATTAAATAAATGTAAGATTTATAAATGTTCTTTGCTGTTAATTCAAATTTGCTTATGAAATTTTCCACAATACAAGTTTAGAAGTTTTGAATACGAGTTAAATGGTCACAACTTTGGAACGATACAAAAATAAAGATTCAAATTACAAATTTATGAGCATGAATCACAATTTTAAAGTATAAATCTTGAACATCTGGTAAAGCTGTTGCACTCCTTACCAGTTGATGGCGCTAAAGCACCAGGTTATTCATCCCTGTTACGGATCATGCTTGTTTCTACGTGATCCGTTCCGAAAGGATTTTAAGGAATTTATTTTCTTAGGAAATACATTATAGGGCTTGGGCGTCATGATGTAATTACTTTGCGTCGCCGCCATGTTGATGGCCTCCTTTACAACTGCTCAGACTACTGCCTACGACTACCGCGTACTGTACTCCCTCTCAGCCGTGTTTTAATTTGATTAATTTCACCTTAACTTGGTACCATGGTAAACCGTTCAGTGTTGCCAACTTAGCGACTTTGTCGCTATATTTAGCGACTTTTCAGACCCCTCCAGCGACTATTTTTCAAAAAAGCGACTAGCGACAAATCTGGCGACTTTTTACGGTGTCACTGGTGGCTTTTGGAGACTTACGTGAAAGCATGTATCATCCCCACTCTTGTCCTCCAGAGGCAGCTGCTGCCGTGGGGCGCCTTCCCCATCCCAACCCCGTTCTCCCGCTCCCACAGGAGTCCCTCTCATCGCCGCAGTCAGTAGCCTCGTGAGACCATCCTGATCTCGCAAGCTTTCAAGATTTCACTCGCTAGCAAATCCATCTGGCGGAGTCAGGTTAGCAGCTGCAGGATGTTTACCCTCAGCGTCCAGGCTGCAAATGAAGCTCGCATGCGCCGGGATTGACGGCGCAAATTGATCACGCGGTGCCGCTCCGCCCTGACTTACATTCAAGGCGGGAGCAAGCGGGATGTAAATGTAAAAGGTTATTTGGTCTAAAATAAATAACTGAATTTGAAATATTTGATCTTAAATAAATAACAGCATTTGATTCACACAGCCACAGTCAGTCACTTAATCACCTTGTTTAGTAAAGTGAGTAAAAACACTATATAATAGTGTTTTTACTCACTTTTTGTCCTTCTGTAACGACATTATTTCTCCCACAGCATCAATAACATGCACATCACTACTGTGGCAGATTATGCAAATTAGGTGATGACGTAATTTAGCGACTTCTAGCGACTTTTAGCACAGCCAATAGCTACTTTCCTTACTGAGGAGTTGGCAACACTGAAACCGTTGCTGTATTGTGGGCTGTAACAGCGCAACACATGGGAAAAACATAGAAAATGGGTTAACTTTCCACCGCTTTCCTAACTGGAGGCGCAACCACGGAGACCAAGTGTCAGAGATAAAGAGTCGTCGGCTAGCTTGGATCGCGGCTGTAAGACGACCGAACATAACTTTCCACAGTATCCCGATGTCACTGAGAGTGTGTTCCCTCCATTTTCATTCTGGTAAGTTAAAGATGCGCGGTTTTATTTTATAGCCTACATTGTTTCTTTCCTTCAAAGTTGGGATCTTTTACGGGAAAATAATAAAAACGGCAGCGGGAAAAGGCTCAAATACGTGAGAAACCCGGAGGGTTGGCAGTTAACGTTACTAACTACATCTTTGAAACACATAGCAGCTAGTTAAAAGTACATTACATGCGTGAGTGGTTGTTAGCACTAGCGGTTAGCAGTTACTAAACTAGCAGGTTCCACAGCCCGTCTTAGCACAGCTAAGTAATTACGTCATGACGCCCAAGCCCTATTAACCTTTAAAACATTATAGTTTAGTACGTTTACTATTGTTAGGGAGGGAAAAACGTAATTTAGGTATTTTTTGTATATGCATATCTGGTTGCGCAAGTTAGCTAATGGTAATGATAGATCATGCTTCCGGGACGGATCGCGTAGTAACAGTGCTTGTGGTTAGCTGTTGCTAGCCGTGGATTAGCTGTGTTAGCCGCTAAGCTATCGGCTACCATGACAACAGAAGTGTTGCTCCCCCACTCCGCCACTCGTTTTCATTCAAATTGCAAAGTTTCCACATTAAAAGCGTTGTTGTTTATTAGTGTTGCGCCATAAACTATGATATTAATTTTGGACATTGAGAAGCAATGCGAGATAGAAATGTGGGAAAAATTTAACAAATTTCAAAAAAATAAATAAATAAACTGTCAGATTTCCATAAAGCAAAGAAAACAACAAAAAACTTTAAAATCTAACAGAAAAATTGGAGTGGAAAGAAAACAAAGAGACGGCGCCAGGATCAGGAAACCTTCTGACATGAACTGAACTCCAGGTCACTGAGGTCAATAAAAACCTTCAAGTTGCTCTTTAAGGTGAAGAGGGGTTAGGTGAGCTGGGGGACCTACGAAGATAGCAACATATTTGTCTGTGTGTGTAATGCCTTGAGAATGGAGTTGTCCTGCCGAGTGTTTTTAGTGTCGTAACCCTCCAGGATGCAGCAGCGGAACGTCGAGCCTGAACCCGCGAACTCAGAAATGTTGAGATCAGCGAAACCCAGCTGGAAGGAGACGGAGACACAGACAAACAACAGAAAGTGAAAACGAAATACAGAAACATTCTGTCTGCTAGTTAAGTTTTCTCCAAAATTTGCTGCTTTTCTCATAGCAGATGGAGAACATGAGAGAGAGACTTTACATCCTGTTTAACCTCCATATTCACCTCTCTGACTATCAGCTCTAAATCAAACAATAAGCAACAAGCTGCTAAAGATGATCTAAAATCTACAAAACACGGGAACCATAAGCTATTAAGGTCAGAAACTCTGCAGACTTTGAAGAAATTCTCCAGGAGCACAGAGCGTCAAAAAGACACTAAAGGAGTTCAACAGTCCAGCGTTTTAGACCAGCAGGGAGTGGGTCACTTTAACGTTAAATTCATTATATCAGTTACAGATTAAGATCCGCTTAGAAACAGCTGTAGGTACCTTAGAGAAGGATTTTCCTCCCTTCAGTTCCTGCAAAGACAGAATGAAAGGATTAGGAGGAGTTTCTGCAGCACATAGCAGATCTATTACAGAACTTTAACAGGTTCTAAGCAGTTTTACGAGGATCAAATGTAACCGGGGATCATTTCTCCTTTCCTGATTGAAACACAGATAGAGAGAAAGAGTCCAGAAGAGTCGATAAAAAAGGAAATAAAACAATTTCCAACTTAATAAATAAATCATAGATTTAAAAAAATCCAATTTGAAAAGTGTTTCATAATTATATATTTTAAATTAATACATTTAAGAGTATCTATCAATCCATATTAAAACGTTTAAAAAAATTGAATCCATAAATTTAAAATTCATATTAAAATTTAATTTCCCTTTGGGATTGATAAAGTGTTTTTGAATTGGATTTAATTGAATACAGCTTTTTTAACCATTTAGTTTCTATTTATTCTGACTTAAGTCATAATGACAGATTATCAGCAGCTTATAAACAGTTTAGTAACCGGTTATTCATAGTTTATTAATAGCTCATCATCAGCTTAATAAAAGCATAACAAAGTTCCACAACCAGTTATAAACAGTTTGGTAAGAGCTTAATTACAGTTTAGTAACACAAGAGTCAAACAAATACTAAATGCAAAAGGGAAACCATCAACGCTAAAGTAAAGAGGGTGAAGTAAAGAAAAATGCAATTGTAAAAACTTTTTGAAAATGTAAAGTGAAAACTAAAAAAAAATAACATTTTAAAGGTTTGAAGGTTTGATAAGGAAAGGTACGCCAGAGGATTAGGGCCACCGAACAAAAAAAAAAAAAAAAGGGAACAGATTTTTAAATTTTATTTCAGTTTAGTGTGGGGAAAAAAGTCAGAATTCTGACTTTAATCTCATATTTCAGACTTTAATCTTAGAATTCTGACTTTTTTCTCAGAATTCAGACTTTAATCTTAAAATTCTGACTTTGATCTCAGAATTCTGACTTTAATCTCATAATTCTGACTTTAATCTCATAATTCTGACTTTAATCTCATAATTCTGACTTTAATCTTAGAATTCTGACTTTAATCTCAGAATTCTGACTTTAATCTCATAATTCTGACTTTAATCTCATAATTCTGACTTTAATCTTAGAATCCTGACTTTAATCTCA